CGGTTGGATGGATGGCTTGTCAGGTTGGTTTTGCTAATTGTAAGGTTGGTTGGTTGGTTGTTGAACAAAGTTCCATTATATTTCATTTCAGTGAGGACGCAATGGACCGATACTATTCGTTATTCTGGGACGTCACCATGCTGGAATACCTTATTAGTATCCAAAACTACTGCAATCACAATCCTTTTAGTCCTCTTTTTAGTTTTAGTTTTAGGTTTTTGCTTTTAGTGTTGATATTATACTATTATGTTTTCCTTTAACTGAATAATCAAGACACTCACTTTAAACAAGGACAACACGACAAGAAGCAACTAGCGGTAAGCTATTACTGAATTTTGTCACCATCTTTATTGCCATAATTCCAGTTACTATCTCTAACGTGAAAAGATTTAATCTTTTTTTGCTTGTCTGTCTGTTTTCAGATTCAAACGATTAGTCAAGCCGAACTGAATATCTTCAATAATCAAGAAGTTCTGCAACGCGCAGAATCCATTAGAAAATCGTCGCTATTCCGATCTCTCTCCAAGCAGTACTTGTAGATCTGGCTTTGTTTGGTATTCCTGTGTTGAACTATGGAATGATGGGACTGTGAAAGAAAGTTCAAGCATTGCATGGTATTCCTGTGTTGAACTATGTTGAGCTATGAGTTAGGGACTGGGATTTGAGATATACTTTCTCTTAATTAATTGAAAAGTTGACAATTTTAAATACGAAAACAATAGATAAATAAATATTTTAAGTGTTTGATATTCCTCGAAATACATTTTATTAGTTTTATTAATTTAATATATTTTACGATATTCTCAGGACAATTTTGCAATATTAATTGATCGACAAGGCCTTCCATTAACTGTATTTACAGTCGAACCCCTAAAAACCGGCCACCTCTGGAAAAGAATAGGTGACCACTTAATAGGGGTTGAACGTTTAACTAAGGTCACTAAATGTGTTTGAGAGTCGACTTTTGGAATTCATGTGACCGATTAATCGAGGGTGACCGATTAATCGAGGGTGGCCGCTAAACAGAGGGTCGTTTAATAGAGGTTCTACTTTATATTCTGATATTCATGTTAGGGTTGTCGGATTGCGTGATCAACTCTCATTGCGTCATTAACTTTTCAGTGGGGGGCATTGTCTTTGCAACATACTGTGTTAATAATTCGCTGTTTTTCATGTGACCCGTATAAAGAAAATACAGCTTTGTTATAATATTATTGAGGTCGACAGAGGCTTATTATCGACGCATGTTATCCTAATCGTATTTTAATCGCTTTATGGTTGCTTTGGTTTTAATAAAGTGATGCACGATTCTTCTGCTTCACCTTAAAATGTAAGTAACAGTTATAAAACTCTGATTATTTAATAATTTTACCATCTAATTTATTATATATTATCGATACTGTTTGCCTTAAATAGCGTTCCTTTATACCAAATAACTATATTCCGTCGTTTAGCAAAAAGTTGGGGGGCATGATTCTTTTGTCTATGCAGGACAACACGACCTAAAAGGRCTTAAAATCATGAGATTTCTTCTAAGATCGCCAAGTGTCTTGTTTAATTGATAAGTGATGGCAACCATTCCTTAAGGCAGTTATTAATGAATTAATATTCTAAGTAATACACTTAGTGACTCACTTGAAGTTAATTAAACATATTTATCTTTATTTTAGAAGATAAATTCAGAGGATCATTAAAAGGAATGCTCGTTGTGCCCAACAAGTAAAATGTTCCATTCAGATCAAGCACCTCCAAAAGAAGGAAGGTCCTTTGCTTGTCACAAAATCGATTTTCTCAAGAAGGGCCCTAGYAATGGACGCAATCAAGCAATGCAGGAATTTCACGCAACGTCTAAGCGTAMAGAGAGATGTGAACACAGAGATRCAGTCCAGTTTGTAACRAAAGTACAAATAAAGAGAAAATCGCCGACAGCTTCTCCAWGGCGCAATGAAAAAKGTCGAGATGACAATTACATCAAGTGTRTCAAAAATCCTGTTAAAGGACTTTCYAATAATAGAACAACTCCTCAAAKTAGTTTTTTACCGAAAAGAGGCCATCAACTTTCCAATCTTGAAAGGTATCGAAAGTTTTCYAAATCACCTSATAAAGCAGATAGAACTGGTTTGGATGAAGCTATAACCGGTCAAACAGGTTTCTTTCCTAAAAGGATTGGTCAGTTTTCTTCAAGAACAGTTTCAAGTGTAAAGATTTMTCAAGCACACAAAGTGAAAACTTATGTTCAGATCAACGCACTGGTTCGTTCTTTATCTWAAAGACTCGATCAAAACAGTTTCCGAAAACCCAAACTTCATCGACCAGCAACGAGTTTTGCAACACCAACCATCGGTGAGATCAGTTTACTATTGAAGGGACCTGGTACCCAGAACCATTACTATGGTGACCGGTCATTACCCAGTCTTCCTCGGTCTTAAACGTCCCAGGTTGCGACACGAGTAAAACAAGGAACACAAGAAGAAAATCAGTGATACAAGTTTGGAGTCCCGGTTTCTCGTTCTTGTCCTTGTCTGAACACTGACAATTTGTCGCTCGCRCAACAAAAARATACTGAGAAACACTGAAGCTAAACTTCAACAGACGTTTATCTTTTCTTTCTTTTAAATTGAGTAAAAATCAACACTATAAAAGAAAAAAACAACAAGCAAAAAAAAAAAAAAAAGAAACAAAGTCGATTTGTTGACAAAGTTTTTTCGATCTGTTTTTGTTTCTTCTTATCTGGACATAAAACATAAATTTCCTTTTTTACCTTGTATACATATACCATCCTATACTATATTTCGAAAAAAAGACTTCAATAGTACAGGAATAATTTAAAGGAACAACAAAGATTAATGAAGTGAACTTATCTGTTCTGGATTGACACGTGCAGTTGTATGATAGCAACCCGTTGATCAGGACAGCAACAAGACACTTGATTTTAAATGGTATAGATTCAAATGTTGATAACATGATAACAGATAACAGATAGTTTATTACTTCAAATAATAATAATTACAAGTCTAACCTGCAATTAGCTAAAGCTAGTCTAGGCAGGTTAAATAAAGTATAAAAGTTAAATAACTATTCGAATTATGAAGCTCTTTAATAAGTATTATTAAAATTTGAAGTTCAGAAGAGAAAAACTATAATAATGTTTTAGACGTATCTATTGTAAATTGGAGAATTAAATTTGAATACAGAATAATTTGAAACAAGAAAGAAAAAGAAGAAAAAAACGACAACAATATTAACGAACTAAAAGAATTCAGAGAGTTATTTAAATATCTTAGTGATATCAATATCATAATGATTAATATTCAGATCGTTTAATAAGTTTGACTTAATTTCCTTTTGGAAGCTTTTTTTTGATAAATTTTTAGTAGTGGCTGGGATCTGGTTCCAGATATGTACACCTACTCGTGAGAAAGAATTGGCCTGTGTATTTAAACGTGAATAGCTAGTGTAAAAATTATCTCTAGCTGAAGATCTAGTATTGTGTGAATGAATGTCTTTAACATAAGTAAAAAGATTACTAACATTGCTAGGAATGTTATTATGATTGACATCGTACATCAATTGTGCTACGGAGTAAATGTAAAGTGGTCGGTTCTTAAGGACACGTTTGTTAGTGCAGTTAGTGTATTCCTGTTTCATTAAAAAAAAATCAAAAAAAAAAATCACGAACATTTGCTTTTCTACATGTATCATAGACAAATACATCTGTATCAGTTTCCGAGATTTTTGGATTCACCAAGACTGAAGAACTGGATGACCTTGGACTTTGCCTTACATCCTTGAATATAATGACTCCTTGATAATTCTTTATTGTCTTTCACAGCCAGTTTTTGCCAGTTTCTATGTTTCTATGTTTCTATGTTTCTATGTTTCTTAACAACTAAACAAAAATGTTCTTTGTTTTGTAAATATGGGTGTCCTTGTTGTTTGATTTTTAACAAGTTGTTGTTAATGGATCTTCTTTTAAGTGGAAAATATCCATTTAATTGATAAGTCAGTTAATCTGATATAGGAAAGAGAATATATAGAATCGTGAGCTGTAGTGAACTGAACTCATTTTGAGTTAGCATCGTCACCATGAAGGCTGTTTTCTTGGTTCTGTGTGTTAGTTTGAGTTTAACATGGGCAAAATCTTTTCCAGGTATTTTCTTTCTGTTTTTTTTTTTGTAATTATTCCGTTCATGTCTCTGTGGTTATCAGCTCTTGTTCTTCAGTATTCCACTTCTCGATGTTTCTCTTGATTTTGTAGCTCTTCTTGTTCTCTTGTTTCCGGTCTAGTTCTTCTGGTTTCTCTTGTTCTTTTCCGTCTTGCTCTTTTTCTTCTGGTTCTTGTTCTTCTCTTTTTCTTGTTCTTGTCCCCTTGTTCTTGTTTTTCTATTTTTCTTGTTCTTGTCCCCTTGTTCTTGTTCTTCTATCTTTCTTGTTCTTGTCCCCTTGTTTGGTTATGTACTTCTGCTTGTTCTTGTTCTTCTTGTTTTTCTGGTTCTTGTCCTTCTTGTTCTTATCCGTCTTGTTCTTGTTCTTCTACTTGTTTTCTTGTTTTTGTCAGTGTTGGTCGACTTGTTTTTCTGGGTCCTCTTGTTCTTGTAAGTCTTCTTCTTCAAAATGTTTTTATACTTCTAAGGTTGGGTTATTTTTCTTCATTAACTCATTCTGCAGTCAGTTTCTCAGCCTTCTTCCTTTATTTCTTTTGTATGTTCTTCTTAATTCTCCTTTTCCTACCTTCGAAGTTCTGCTTCTGTCTTTCTTGCATCTAGTCCTCCTTCTCTAGTTTTTTTTCCAAAGGTCGTTCTACTGGAATAACTATCCTTCCAACCACTATAATCTCCAATKTTTCTAGTTCATGTACTTTTCTTGTTTCTCAATTTCTCTCACTTTGAATCTTCATAATTAAGACTTTCTCAAACGCGTCATAAACGGCGAACAAGCAAATCCCAAAGACTACCCTTGGGTCGCTTTCATTGAGGGCGAGGACCCGGACGAGCCGTGCAGTGGRTCCATACTTAGYGATGAATGGGTTCTWACCGCTGCATCMTGCGTTCACGAAGSTTCGCCTAAGAAACTRACAGTAASTCTWGGTAAGTACACGTCTMAAGTAATCAAAATATACTTATTTATTTCTCTTTTATGATTTCGTGTTTCGCTTGGAGTTTTTTCCCTCTGTCCTGGCTTGGTCGTAAGCCAGCAGTTTAGTAGTTAGGCTTGTTTAGACTGGAATTGTTACTAATGGAGTTGACAGAAGGAGCAACATCCCGAAAGCGCTCAATTCAAAGTGATGATTTTTGCAGACAATACTAAATTACAGTCAACTCTCTCGTAAGCGACCACCTAGGGATCAGGAAAAAGTGGTCGTTTACGAGAGATGGTCGCTTAAGAGAAAGTTTTTTTCTTACAGAGTTTATATGGGAAACTGAACAAAACGGGAAATTTAAAAGGTGGTCGCTTACTAGAGTGGTCGTTCAAAGAGAGTTAACTGTACCTTTTAAGATGAATGGTTGGCTGTTAATTTACTCTCTTGAACGACCACTCTAGTAAGCGACCATCTCCCGTAAGCGACCACCTTTTAAATTTCCCGCGTTTTGTTCAGTTTCCCATATAAACTCTGTAAAAAAAACTTTCTCGWMAGCGACCATCTCTYGTAMRCGACCACTTTTTCMTGATCCCGAGGTGGTCGCWTACGAGAGAGTTGACTGTATAGCTCACCTTGCTRTTCATTCAYGATTTCCAGGAATTACCGACAAAACGAAACAACCATCAAACCGCCTCGGAGTCAAGAAGATCATYRCTCACGAGMATTACAATGACGACACTTTGGACTCTGACTTGGCTTTGCTTCAACTCTCAACCAAGGCATCGATGAGTGACGTGGTTCAAGCAATTAACCTGCCAAAGCAAGGCGATAAAGTTGCTGTTGGAACCATGTGTAATATTGTAGGTAAGTTCAGTTTTCGACGAGGGTTTCTTCAATATGTTTATTGTAATTACCMTCATTGGTAACTATTTGGATTGAGGTATTTATTTCTCCATTCATTAACCCATATCTACATTAGAAAACAAAATAGCGAGAAGGAGTTGGAGTTAGCCAGTAAAAATTATACGCAAGAAATATGAACAAAAAACGGCTGCGAGGAGACTAGCATTTAATCAAGCTCAAAAGAATCCCAGGAGATAAATATTGCAGACAATTATGCTAAGAGAAAGAGCAGCCCTTCACAGAATTGCTTATTAAAATTCTAATGATGATGACGAAGATGATGATATTTATTAATACGCTTTTTATTATTATTATTATTATTCACCATAATCTTTATTAGACAAATAATTACAAATATAATAGGTTACATTAATAATAATGACACGCCGTAATAATGCAATCTTTTTAGGTTGGGGCACSACCAAAAGTGATACTCTAACTTGGCCTCAGTATCTTCAAAAGGCCGAACTACCAATCGTGGGTAATAAAGATTGTAAGGCGCTATTTTCCGCTAACATGATGAACGTCTGCGAGAAAACTATGCTYTGTGCTGGAGGAAATGGCAAGAGTGGTTGTCAAGGAGACAACGGAGGCCCCCTTGTCTGCAAAGAGGGGGGGCAATGGGTTTTGAGGGGTATAGGGAGTTGGGGGGACGATAATTGCGATCCATCAAAATATATCGTGACCACCCGTGTTAGTACTTTTGTTGACTGGATCAAGAACAAAATCGAGTAGCTTCCCAATAAGTGTCCTTTGCTGGTCAATTTATAGAGCTTCGACTGTAGAGCAACAAAACCATGAAATAAAATCAAACTAAATACTAACAAATAGCGGCTATTTAGAGACAAATTGTCAGTACCAATGAACCTGAGCGCAATCAAGATGAATTCAACTTTATTGGGTTCTGGTTCATTGATACTGACAAATTGTCGCTAAATAGCCGCTATTTGTATTTAGTTTGGTTTTATTTCATGGTTTTCCTGCGTTTGCTCTATTGATTGTTAAAATGTTTATGTAGCCAGAATCATTAATTTATTGATTTTGAAAGTTTCCATTTGAGTTGGGCTTTTTTGCATTTAGATCGTCATATTTGAWTTATACTTTTTTAGTGTTAGTTTTGTTTCGTTTTTAGGTGTAATTTGATATAGTGATTATTTTCTGGTTTTTTTTAGTTGTTATTTTTTCATATTTATACCTTGTTGATATTTTTTATTTAATCTGCCATATTCTCGCTTTCTTCTTTGAAGCTTCATTATTTTTTGTTTTCATGACACTAACGATTTTGTAAAGGACATGTGGAAATATTAAACTCATTTGAAATCAAAGTTTGTCGTACTCTTAAMTTGATCGTTATTTTCTTTACAATTCTTTATTTATAGAGTGGTTCTCAAAACCCGTAAAATACAATGTAGTGCCCTACACTTTATTACTATATGTCTGAACGGTTCAGGGAGGTAGCGAGAATTGTTTTTTTCGCCGGGGGGGATTGAATATTTTTTGGAGGAGCTGGAGCACAGCAGAAAGCTTGGAAAATCGTTTTTTTTATGCATTTATTAAATTTGCGAAAATTTTGATGGGGTATATCACACTTTGTTTCACGGATAAAAACTGCAAATTAGCATTTGCGAGACATCACATTTTCTTCTCCATTAAACCTCTTGGAACCAGGCTGTTCTACACCGTATTTAAGAAAGAACAGACAAAATATCCTAATCAAATGCAAATTTGGGGAAAGTACGCACCCTGATAGAGGATGTGTTCCACAATTTCACATCCGATATGATGTGACTATATGCTCTATACCCTTCAATATGGGGATGGTAGTACGTCAGCCCCCTTCCCCATGGCCAGGGACTAACCCTGGCGACTAGAACAAAAAGACAACGCTTTCTTTAAGTACACTTCTTCCATGCCTCTTCAATGACAAATCACATCAAGAAAGCCATAAGAAACTAAAAGCAATTGACACCAAAGATTTGATTCCCTTTACTCCTTAGAAAACKTTTATTCTAAGAAATCCGTCGATACGAATACCCTCGTTAACAAATGAACAACTATTTCTATAGTTTACAGAWCGTTTCCACAGGATAGTGATGCCATAAGTCTATAGTCATATTTACAAATAAACATACCTAAAGTCCGATCAGCTTGATCAGAGGTTCGATCAGCGTAATCAGRAGTTCGATCAGCGTGATCAGGAGTTCGATCAGCATGATCGTAAGTGATTTCACCGATCTTTAATGAGAAATATTCTCGTCTTTATAACTGCKTCCAATCGCAGTCTCGATGCTGATGTAATACAACAAGTGTCATCGTCGTTGCTWTCGTTTTTAKCACCTCCATTCTATCCATATACAACATTGACATTRAAATTYMAAAAATTGAAATCTTAAGATTTAATGCGTGTATAAAAACGAGCAAGTGTATCACGTGATTGTCTTGCGCGCAACCTCGATGACAATTGTTGTACTTTCTACGTCACTACTTTATTTCACAATAAGGCGAAATTTTTRCGTATTCAAAGTGAATACCTAAATCTTGTCTGCCGTCGTAATGAATGTATTATTTCGTCGTCCAACAATGACATTATTAAATGCCATTTTATTGATTTTTTGTTTCTATTTAATGTATTTTCGGAAAGAATCCAGATGAAACTCCTTCCCAGCTGTGAACATCGATATTTTTAGTCTAAACCGAACCCGCTTTATTCCGAAGCATTTTGGGACAGGTCACGTGACCTTCATACGAAAGAGTACCATTCTATTTACAAAGTCTTCGTACTCTATTATATAAACAATATAGGAACTCCACTGGAATCAATCGGTTTTAAAAGATCTTCCCTCGGAATGGACGTCTCCATAATTCCTCCTGATATCTCTTCACTTCTTTTGCTCGTAATTTCGATATAATATGTTCCAGTTTTGTCCCTCTTTTCTTCCTCTTTCCAGCTTGTAACAGCGGGTCAACGGCGTTAGCTGWGTCAGGCACACACTCGTAGCATAGTTTAAGATATTTGTAGGTGTTCTTGCAACTTGGTTCGTCGAAGAACACGTTTGATGCTACAATCTCGCAGGCTTGTTGGTCCTTGCACTGGCCGTTGACCTTTTTCATGGCTTGTTCTGGGTCTGTCTCACATGGTTTGTCGACTGATAGACCTAARGGTGCATTGGGGCACATTCTATTATCCTCACGTCCCCAGAAGACACGGTTCATTTTCAGCATCTCGTATTGCTTGCACTGTAGCCATGTTCTCTCGCCTTCACACACGTAGGAACAATTCTAGAATAGAAATGRCAATGGTGAAGATTAGACATAAAACACTTGATAAAACACACACACACCTCTTGTTATCACTCGTACGAGTTGATGTTAACAGAGTTTATATCTACTTACAGGCATAATAGAATCAGCTCCTGATGGTCCCGAATAACCTCGGATGCCTGGAATACCAGGAGCACCCGGGGATCCTGCACTACCAGGTGGACCCTGAGGACCTCTTTCTCCTCTGAAACCCGGAGCTCCTGGTGGTCCAGGAGGTCCTTTAGGTCCAAGAASTCCATCAGCGCCGGGTGCTCCTACATCTCCGCCTGAACCTGGTGGTCCAGGTTCACCAGTAACACCCCTGTCTCCTCGCCGGCCCTTGGGTCCAGGTGGACCTACTGGTCCTGATCGTCCTGATAGCCCACCGTAGAACAAGGTCAGATTTTGCTCGAGGATCTGACTGATCATCATRTGGTCCAACATTTGTTGATCCACTGTGTCACCAAGTTTTGGCCAGCCCTCGTTGATGCTCTGTAAATGAATGGATGGGAAGGCTATAGTTACAATAATTCTTGAATAACTTTACAATATAACATGCTGGTATAACATTGCTGGTTTTCTCTAGTGAGGAGGATCAGGRCGGGCATGTTAGGATACCAATAGAACAAAAACTCGATGCAATTGAAATAGGAACAAACTAAAAACGGAGGGAAGAAAATTAGGCTGTTGAGTAGGGTATTGCACTTTACTAGACATACCTCTTCATCTTCTTTTTCAACCTCAACGTCTGGCTGTTCCTGTTCAATAGCGCCTGAGGTCGACATCTCCAGTTTGCTTTCTCCAGAAGAGTTCGACTCTCCGCCTTCCTTATCACCTTGCTGTTTTGAATCGCCAACAGCTTCTTCTGAATTACGTACTGGCGTTAATTCCAGAGTCCCTGTAATTCCAGATCCTTCCAATGCAGACGAACCCTCTTCTTGTTCTGACCCTGATCCTAACGATCCTGAGCCAAATGTCATGGGAGCATTGTTGAGCACAGCCTGTCCCAATGCAGCTTTGAGCGACGAATCCTTTGAGAGGTCAAATGAAGGAAGTTTTAAAGAAACTGCTGGCTGGGCYGTATCATCTTGGGYAAGCGCAGCTGCCACGTCTGAGGAACCTCCTGTGATATCGTTTTGTAATGTTTTCTTGAATTGTGGTAACTGGTCGCTGTCCTCTGCAGAACCCTCTCCCACAGTCTCTTCAGAGACATTGTCTAAGCTRTCASCAGATCCCTGTGAACCCCCTGACCCTGAAAACGAGATTGAATCCTCAACTCCCAAACTTTCAGGAAGAGGTTTAGYCTGTTTTGCAGAATCCTCTGGTTTTGTGTTGGTGGAATAAAATACAGTATCCTTTGTTGTGATATCATGGGATTGGGCAGGCTTGCTATTGTCTGAATCAACGCTACTTTCAACAGCTTTAGAACCTGAATCTTCGATGTCTGTGTCTTTRCTCGATGTTGTCATTGGGCTTTCGTCGCTGTCTGATTGGGTTATCTTGCCTGTTTCATCATCAGATGCGGTTGTTCGTTGTCCAGATTCATCATGTTCGCCTGATGTTTCTGATGCCTSTATATCGTCCTGTATTCCCCCGCCAGATCCTTGAGCTGTTGCGTCAGACTCGATAGTATTATCCATTTCAGGAGACTCTTCGATCTCGTCTTTTTTCTGGGCATTGGATGTTACAGTTTCAGTTGCTCCAGATCCAGAACCAGAAGTCTCCGTACTACTGTCACCTGAGCCAGCTGCAAGGTTATTCATGGTCATCAAGTTTGGTCCCATAGCACCAACACTGCCAGGTAACTGCTCTTCAGAATCGGCCATGAAWGAGGAATCTGATCCCGATCCACTTCCCGACGCTGCTGAAACATCATTTTCCTGTTTAGGYGTTTCTTGAGTGCTTTCATCTTTGATAATCGACACTGTTGGGTGCCTTGGTTCTGGTTGTTCTTCTTTGATGTAGTTTGGGTCGTGATAAGGCACTGTGTGCTGCCCTGCCCCCGAACTCTCACTCACACTTCCAGATCCTACAGCAACGGTCTCTGTTTGGAGCTCAGGAAAGCTTTCATAGGTTACTCTTTGCGCTGCTGGCATACCAGAGCCGGATGACATGAGATCGGCTTCCTCGTCAACTGCAGCAGATTTTTGTGGCGTTTGAATGGTAATTTCCGCCTTTTGTGGCTGTTGCACAGCAGCAGTTTCGATCTTCTCGGGCTTTTGTGCTGTTGTTTCTTGTACAGTTTCTGTTTGTGCTGGAGCATCGCTGGTGGCAGTTGTCTGAACAGGTGCAGCCTTTTCCACTTGAACGGTCGTTTCAGGAGCCTTTGGAGCAGCTGGAGGAGTATTTGAYACTGGAGCATCYTCTGCAGCAGCAACAAAAGRTACTTGTGTTTGAGTGGCAGTACTATCAGCAGGCGTTTGAACAGGAGTTTCCTGGACAGGTGCAGCTGATGCTGGTGATTCTGCGGTGATAGGTGCTTCTGCTTGAGTAGCTTTAGGTGCTGAAGATGCTGTCTCCTGGATAGTTGCTGCTGATGGTTCTGTAGAGCTTGTTKCAGGCTTATCTTCTGCAGTTTCAACTTGAGCGGCAGCTGGTTTTTGGGGAGMAGCAACCTGAAGAGTTTCTACTGGTGCATTAGCATCGCTTGATGTAGCTACTTTGACTGATTTTGGCTTCTGTTCTTCAGCGCTCTTTTCAATTTTTTCGATGCCTTTGAAAGCGCCCAAGCTGCCGGGTAAGCCCTCTTCAGAATCGGACTCTCCTGACGATTCCTTCTCATCATCTCCCGACAAGAAGTTCGTTCCTGACGTGGTTTGGACTTCGATCTCACTATGTTTATCGCCGGACGATRCCTCGTCGTTTTGATCTGATAGTGTTTCAGATCCGCTCGCCAACTCTCCAGAACCCGCATCATTGCTGACTACGTTTTCACCTGTTCCAGATCCACTGGCTGCCAGGTCTTCGTCAGCAATTGCTCCCTCGCTACCGGGAAGAACTGGAGTGCTATTAGCTTCACTCTGAACTTCATCGTTRCTATGAAGTGCAGAAATAAAAGCAGCCTCGTCGGTGGTGAGGCCGTTGTTTTTAWATGTCTGACCTGAACCCTCACCCGAGCCAGTCGTGTCTTGAGCAAGCTTTTGGTGGCTATCGGTGGGTGGCTTTGAGAAGTKACTATCTAATGTAGTCTTATTTTTATAACCAACCATAGCAGGGAGAGGTGTTATCTTAGTTGTAACAACAACGGGAGGCGCTGGGGGAGGTCGAGGAGGGGGTGCCGGTGGASCTGGAGGCGGCTGTTCCCAGTACTGTGGAGTTGCAGGGTGTGGCACTTCTTTAGGCTCGTTACCTTCAACGGATGAAAGTTCAGGCCCGTCGGACTGCTTGTCCTTYACCACCGAAGATGCAGCACCTTGTTCCGTTTTGCTTGCATTTACTTTGTCGTTGAGGCTTGTAGCTGAACCGCCTTTCACTTGCCTTCGAAATCTTTCGATGCCATCAGATGAAGGGGCTAGAGAGGCGTCCTCATCGGCTGTAACAGGAGCTAAGCTTTCTAGTACTTTCATTAAATTTATGTCTGAATCTTTACGAAGCTGTGCGTTATCTGGTACATCGGGAAAAACCTGTCAAAATAAATGAGAGTGTGGACCTGAGTAAACAGAACTTGKTCCTTAAATTCGTAAGCTAATAATAGTGGGCATTTGTARGTAAAAGTTTAGTGAAGAATTGGAAATGGTTCACGTGTAGATGCAGCCAATGCAAACAAGGTCTCTCGTTCCTCCTGCATSGKGCATCGTCTGGGCCGTTTGATTTTATATTTTATCCTTGGTTAAACTCTACTCGACCAATAGTAAGTTCCCTTGTAATTTTGCAATGGTGTTTACATGACACTAAATCTTACCTTACAATCCACTAAGTAGAAAAAAATAAGAGTAYATATTGCTATCCGCACAATCATGATTGCCTGGAATAAAGGAAGAAAGTCATGAGTTTAAACTACCGACAATACGATTCATGATTAGTAATATAAAGATATATTATGATGTACCTYAGTAAATATTTTGTGTTCATAAGCAGTATTTTGTTATTTTTTATCCTACATGTTTAATTTTAACATGAATATCATAGGCTTGTTTCCTTTTTGATCCAGCATTTCAAAACTGTCCTCTGTGTATTGACCTAAAACACTCTCTTTATACTAACAGCGTTTTGCCAAAATATTCAATGTTGATTTAGGCTCGATTTTAYCCGATTATTTCCCCGTGTTTAACGATTAGACATTGGGTTTTTTGTCTAATACACATTTGATTTTACTGCAAATTGTTTGTCGAGTGTTTCTTCAGAAGAAAAGTGAGGCAATCTTTAGGAAGGTGTAGTACCGTAACGAGAAGATTTATCACATAAAGGTCAATGGGCATAAAACGATTTATTCATGCGTTGAATTCTCACTTTTTTACTTTCAACAATATTATTATCTTGAAATAAGCTTAAGTCTGTACTTGTATTAAAATGATAGAAGTTGCAAAATTGATTATCTTCTGTAATAKTCCTTATACTTACCGGATTCGGGTTTAGATTGAAAACCCTGGTATTATTTTAAGCCTTCCCCCTAATGCTGTAACGGGGTATTTCGCTGTACTAAAACACAAGGAAAAATCAGTCAGTATAGTTTTTCTGCCTCTGATACATAGGACATCAAGTCATAGGGTTTAACATGATGAACATAGAAGGAAGAAAATCAGCAGATACCAAATCAAAGTCAGAATGACGGAATAGTCACCTAACTGTCGACTTGAAACATAATAACACGCAGGTAGGCAACGGGCTCCTTGAATTCCTTAAATGAACACCAATACACCAGTTTTCGAGAAAGAAATTTCCAAACTTTTCACACGAAATTTCATCAGTTTCACAAAGCATAAAGTGYACTACCATTCGCCGTCAGACTTCTGTCATTACGATACTCATCGTCCGTGCAAGTACAGCAGGTTCCATAAGTGATGTCCAAGGACTTTTAGCTCGTAAAAAAACTCCGATACAAGACATAGGACTCGACCTCTTCGCGAAATAAACACCAAACTGGTATCAATTGTAGAAATATTCTACTTACCCGATATTTGAGGCTGTAAAATCTCCAAAAAACCTATCTTTTTTCACTCATGACAGCACCGTGTCGAGGAGATTGTGTTTTCATAAAGTAATAGAACGGAACGTTGGATGAGGTCATACACCAAAAATGCTRCGATCCTCGGGGACYCCCAGCGCATGCGTAGCGCTAACCTCTTGATCTTTACCAACCACTCGARTGCTTTTTACGAAATTTCCTGAATAATTMTAACTCGAGTCGCCTTAGTAAATCATAAAAGCTTTAGCAAGGGGTTGAGTAGTTAGTTTTATTTTATCCAGGGACTGGAAACACCAGTCGTTGCCGGTTATTTACAGAAATGATGTGAGGGCGACATCAAAAATATCCCACCTGTTGTGTTTGTGCTAAGGTCATTGCTAGAAACACTGTCGACCTATGAGCAGTGATTTATGTTTTCTTCTTGACATTTTCCGTTATCATAGATTTATCTTGGTTACGGCTTTTCTAAGAGTTTCTGCCTGTATGAGCGGGGCTATGGGTGAATTTCCCTCGGTTCTAGTTGAGGATTTTTTATTATCGAGAAACATGAGTTCAGTTCCAAAGAATTCACTCCAAACTGATACCGTTTGAACGAAAAATTGGTTGGAATATAGCATTTTTTCGAATGAAATCAGWGAATCCTTCAGTGAAGTCTTTTTATGCTCTAGAWAACTAAAATTCAGAAAAAAGTAGTAAGTAATTCCTCAATTCGGTGTTTTGGCATGAAAAAGCATGTAACGAACTCTTGGGTTTACTACTACATTTTTATGCGAAGTTGGAAAATCTCCAGTAATAGAATTGATCATAGACCTTATCATTAAAATTAACGAAATAGTATTATATAGTAAAGAGATTTCGATAAGGATAGGATGTTAGGATTTTGACTACCGATTTTGACAACCAAAACTACCAATGAGGATGTTGAGACCTTTTATCTACAAGTGAATTGATTAGTAATCACTATCATCATTGCATTTTTATCATCATCAACATCATCATTGATTACCGCGATCATTGCTAATATCGATTCATTTAATTTACATTTTATTTGATTTAAGAATCAAGATTATCTGTGCGCTGAAAGGGATCAAAATGGTGTCAAAATCGCTATGATCAATAAGATTGTGAAAATTGAATTTGATCTCTAATTTAGAGCAACTAATTCATGCTAGCATATGTTCARTTGCCTCAATCGTAGTATGTAATGCATGCAGTTATTTATTACTTTATTTATGAACAAAAAATATATTTTTAAAGTTCCAAAACAAATATCGTTTCCATAGAAACATRAAGCCACCAKGAGTGTCATTATGGTTGACAAGATTCTCCAGTGGCTTATGGGTACTCACAATTCTTTTTGATACACTTAARCTAGTCACTTAGKTTAAAAGCTTTAGTACTTGCTCTTTCGATGACAGTCATTACRAGGAAATGCTACGACAAGTTTGTTGGCTGGGCCTTTTTGGGGCATTTTCATTATTTCTTGAATATGGAAAGACGGGACACATTAGTAAGCTAACAAACTGGATCAAGCAGGAGAATATTACCGAACTAGCTTGTGAAGGCCAGACAATTGTCTTGAGTTGTAATGAAGGGGAAGGGATCAAAATTAAATCAGCCTTCTGGGGCCGGAATGATTCAAACTTGTGCTCCTCGGGAAATACGAACAGTACGAATCAATTCTGCAAGCCATTAAATCCCCTGTATCCATTGGAAAAACTAAAGAAAATYTGYGACGGRGCTTCCATTTGTAAGATTGAAGCGTCTGAATCTTATTTTGAGATTCCATTTTGCAAAGATGTWTCGAAGTATCTCCATCTTGTGTACGACTGCAGGGCAATGAGCGGACTTGGCGCTAGAAGGTAGCGTKAGTGTCTCAGACTGTATACCACGTTAAAAGGGTGTCTACCATGGAGTAAACAGAAASGGTAAACTTGGAATGCACCTAAGTGGAGTGGAGCTTAATGATTAATAATTGCATTTTATAGCAAAACTTAAGTGTCATTGCTTTGCWAAACGATTTCGCATCTTGGCGTCCTTAATCTCCTTTGTGCTCCCCGCGTATCATCAAGCACTAACTAAAGACAATGAAAACTACTAACACATGACTGAGACTGTACACAAGTTCGTTGGTTTAATTGTAAAGAATTGAACATTGACCGCTGACATTTAAGTAGAAAATACGTCTAACTGATAGACTGAATAATAAGCTGAACCACGTATGACTATGAAATGAACACTGTGAAGAGAGTCTTATTTGGCCTTGGGKTTTGTTTTGACTAAACATATACTTATTTATAGATGTTGAAATGAATCGTGTTTGAGCTGAAGGAGGTGAATGTAATATTTAAGAATGCCTGGAGAAGATAGAAAAGAAATGTTTTAGAAAGGTTATTGATGAGAAGACTTCTTGCTAAATCGCGTATACTGAAGTGAGCGAAGTCAATTGAATCTATAGTCTTCTGGGTRTGAGTGATAATTCGGAAAGATTGCATTCTTAACGAAGGAAAACCAATCATATTCTGATGTATTTTATTTATAAAAMTCTTAAAAACTCATATTGAAAAAAGGTTGAATAAAATGAAAGCTAAACATGTTTTTGTAAACTGTTTAGATAACTCACGGAGATGAACGAAGTCATTGGACTAGCTACCTGTTGATGGTACCTGCCAGGGCACCATGGTAACCAGTCCAACCAATCACGTATAAATAGTGCCAGACAGTATTCATTGTAAAAGGGATTTTGTGTTTTCTTTATGTAAAACCTTTGATCAATAATAAACGGCACGGCCCGGCCGCTCTTGTACTTGTCCTTAACACGAAAACGATTGTTAGGAGTAAGGATGGGCGGGTTTTTTTTTTTACTTCTCTTGGTGGCTATTGCGTACCAACCATTTGTCAGAGGACAGATACCTTAAATTGTTATATGAACTGTCATTTAGGCCAGCAGATGATTGGTGAAGTCATGTGCGCCTTTTGCTCTTCCAGTATGAAGAGGAAATGGTAGATGATACGCGAGACAAGGTCGACAGTCCAGTTCTTACTGGCCGTGCCTACGGCATTCAGGCAAAAACAACCCTGCTGTCCTTTGCACGATTTTGCATCTTTCATCATCATCATCATCATCATCATCATTATCATCATCAGTATCATCATCATCATCATCACAATAATTCCTTCTGGCACGAGATTTGCCTAGTAGCACATTTGGTTTGGGTAGGAGATACCAGTCTCCAGCATCCATCAATATGTTTCACCATGGTTCTGAATACCCCGGTTGTCTGAAGGCTGGGTAAAGTTATTCACGGGGTAATGTTGTCCACTCATTTGATTTTGTATGGGATTTTATCCGCTACCTATAAGGATTTATCCGGTGGAGTTCTTTTTTCCTGAATTTCTCGCTGGCAACCAGTTGTGACTTACAGCTGGCTGGGACATAAGAACAGATATATTTCTCCCAGGAACTCGTCGGCTCCTCCTAAAAAGATGCCACGCACGCGCGTAGAAGTCTTATAATGCGTTGCCATGTTCAAAATCCTGTCATGAGATGGCAATTGTAAGATACTTTCAAATATTTCAGAACATTTGGACAACACAAAGGCAGTTCAAAGAACAACGTTGACGCTGTCAAAGTGCAGAATTGCCTCTTGTTGCAAAACGACTTCACTTTYTCTAGCGGATAAGTCGAGCAATAGGGCGTGCAAGGAATTGTCGTCTTCATAGAATTCTTCAGTGCTTGAAGTTGACATGTTTTTGTATCGTTTCGTCCCCAAAACGCTGAAGTAATGTTAATTCCTTGTTCTGTGCTACACATTAAGTTCATTTCTGAGCCTTCGCACGCTAATTCMTGTTGMTTTGCTTGGACAATGATAGAACTAAGTCGGTTGTGATGTATTCCAGAAGTGTTCAAAATCAGGAGTAGAAGAGTTACAGCTCCCAGATTGATTCCTAAAATAGAACTGTATCGAAACCGCATCATAAATTGGTCAAGGCGAGGTCTGTTTTTTTAGTGGCTCGTTTGATTTTGWGTTAGTTGTGATGTCGTTTCATTGCCTTTTTACTCATTCAGACTTGAAGAATTGAGAGCATCGCAAAAATGAYTTCTAAGCCTCGTTTTTAAGACAAACAGCATTTGACCGGAATGAAAACTGCTAAAATAGCATTTCCCTGTTCAAAGATCTGTCAACAAACTTTTTATGATCTACTAAAGGTCAAGTCAGTCAGGTCAAGTCATTCATGACTGTTTATGTTTTTGTTTCCATAAAACACTGGTCCCACCAGCCAAAGGTGTGACGACAAACTTGTACAACTTGTATAATTTTATTCAAAGCATTTCCATAACTTGGCAACTCTTATCACCAAGTTTTTTCTCTCACTGGTGAGTGCTCAGTTCTTCAAGGATTTACTTTATATGTTTCCCCCGTCATCCATTGGTGAAAGCAAATAAATGAATAAATGAAAAAAACGCTGGGAACCGGAGAAAATTAGCACATGTGGCAGCAACCATGAACAGGAGTACAGTGGAATGAACGTGTAAATAAAAAAACGATCTTTTTTGTAAAAAAAAACACAACAACTTATTTTGCGATAATCGAGGTGCGTCCTTTTAAATATATTCTGCGTCCAAAAAGGCACGGATTACAAATACGCGTATCCTTGGGCTCCCTGTGTATATTAAACTGGGAAGGCCCTGGGAACCATGTTATCAGCAAGAGCAAGATGGCGGGCAAGTTGGAAGACAAGAGGGCGAGGCATTTTGTATTTGGAATTGATATGTTTTAGAACAATTTGACTGCAAACTTTAGTKCCGTAAAACGCTTAATGAAGGTAAATATTTACAATTTATTTACTTTATTGTATATTCGCGTTCTTATTTAAGGTGTTTTATTGGAAAATGCTTAGCTTGATCGCGTTACTCACCGTGGCAACGCAAATCATTATAGAATGAAATYAAACAGAACTGTCTTACTTCTAAAACTTTGAGGATCCAGCTTCCCTTTTAATACGATAATAATTTCATAGCTTTCTCCAAAAGTTTTTTTTTAAGATTACCAGAACTTGAAAGCTATTTTTATTTAAATTAGGAGGATTAAGGATAACAGTCGTTGAAGCAGCAAYGTGGAATATTATCTGAAAACAAATGTGCAAATGTTACAATTAAAAGGGGTCAATCACTAGCGAGCAAAACGAAAAATCAAGGTAAGTTGAGTCAGTKACTCATTATTAATCTGCTATAAGGATATTACTTTKTCTGACCTCATAGTTTGCGGATTAGAAAAAGTGTCAACTGACTCTCAAATTTGCATTTTTACAGCAACTAGACCCTGACAGCAGGGTGTACTCGTG